CCCTGGCACAGTGTTGCTGGGGTTTGTATTTCAGCTTGTCCCTAAGTGAACCTTACTGGACCTGTACAATAACAGCCAGAGGCAGGGGGAGGGGATGAGGTAATGTTTCTGTTCCGTATCAATTTTTTATCATCAGAATTCTCCCCTGGAAACAGAAACAATGCAGTTTTTGTATTGTTTGCCTTTTCTCCTTTTTTCAGCGCTGCCAGTTTTCATGGAATAGTTCCGTCTGTTAACTATTAAAGCAGGGGTTATTTACAGGGGCTGTTCCAGAGAGTGGGGAATTAGTACAGACTACGTGTAAGAACATTACTCTTTGTAGGGTGGATACGTTTAAGCACATACTAAGATATATCTTTGATTGTTTTGAACTTTCTAATGTTTGTATGTCATTTCACAAAACACATTTTCATCCCTGTTAAGTAGTGTATTGAGCAAGCCTGACCAGCAGGGGGAAGCCTTGGTATATAACCTAATGCGTCTTTTTCAATGCGATGATTTACGACAAATACGTTTATTACTGTTCATTTATTTATTGGTGTTTTCTGATGTAGGAAGAGGCGTATACTTTATTTATTTAAATGTGTTCTATACTGTACTCTTCATTCAAACTCCAGATTTATTACATTATTTTAATAAACTATCACACTGCTTAATAATATTTTATAGATGCCTTTGTTATATTTGGTAGTACACTATTTCTTAATTTGATCGCAAATGAAAATTGTGATTAAAATTATTTTTTTCTGTTGTTTTTTTTTTAAATAGCATTCGAGATGCGAGCATTGGGAATGAATTGCACAAGAAATAGTGTTGCCGCTTTTGGACAGTAGGCGGCGCCATATACCTTTTTAAAGGCTGGAGCTCTGAGCCGAGACGGATTTTTGATTAACAGCTTAGGTCACCTCTGCTGTATGGGGCGTTGTCTGTATCTCATTGTAACAGTGGGAGAGGCTGGTGTGATGTGAACAAAGAGCACCAGACTACAGCAGGGCGTTTCTCCCTGCTGTAATGCGTCTACTTCTGCTGGAGAGACGGAGAATAAGTCAAGAAGGCTGAAGCTACAATTTATTTTCCTAAGAAAAAGAGCGTTCGGATTACCTTCTGAGAAACAAAATTCCTGCAGCTTTAATCAAATGCCATGTTGATCTCAGTACATAGGCATTTTGGTTGAGCTACGATAACTGAATTGCTGAATTAAATAGATCTCTGCATCTTCTAGGGTTATGGTATGTTTTGAAAGCAAACTGTGGCTTGCTAACTCTGCCTTTACATCGTTGAATCAGTTGAAAGTTGAATGAAAGGTTTTATTAGGCATTTAGGCAGTCTTGCTTCTCAGCATTGTGAAACAGTACAGGAAAATGAATATCTAAACCCCTATTATCTATCACACAACTGCTGTTATAGCTAATTAGTTTGTTCGCCCATACCTTTTCTGTGGTATAAACATGGTTATCTCGAACAAAGAGACCAAATGTTTTATTGGAAAGAGATAAAGGGACACTATCACCCCTGATTAACGGAGTGCTGTCCCCTGGGACCCTACCAGAGTAGCTTAGCAACTCGAGAACCAACATGTTTTTTTTTATTAGGGAGGAGCAGACCAAGGAACATTATCCTAAATTAGCTCCTCATCTTCCGTGAACATTTTCTTGCTTCCTGATGTTTATCACTGTCGTTAAGAAGGAAGATTCTGGAGAATTCTGGTTTGGGACTACACCTCAGAAAGGAAGAATGTTGTAGGTTAAAGAAATACAAACCAGTCAATGTGCTTTTGAAGTTGGGGCTCTTGTTGACCTTACGAGGGTTAAGGTGTGCTCCTTAGTACCACATGTGCCATGTTGTTCTATATAAAGCTAAGAGGCAGCCCCTGCTAGTAACACTTTTTTTTTGTATTGCTGCCAAACCTTGTGCCAAATGAATGGGTGTCATTATGATATTCTGGAATTGTCTTGGAACTGCAGCTGCAGGGCTGTCACATTGGTTGCATTGCTCTGGGTAATTTAAAAATAAAACTTTCTTTATAAGTCTTTATTATCCTATGATAAGCCCGTAGAATGTACAGAAACAGTAAAGGAAAAGTGAATTGAATTATTCGCATATTTTTGAAAGTACAATCATGAATGAATTATTATATTTTGTAAACCTTACACAACAATGTATATTTTTTTGTAGGAAAATGAAAAGCGTTTTATTATTATACTGTATATACAGTATGGTAACAGTAATATAACAGCATTTTCCCCTTTTTACTGTAGAACATTTTTAACCGTTTGTTAAAATGACTTGCAAAATAGAACCCCTTCACCTTACTTGGGTCTCCAAAGTGTTCATTGTATTAATCGCTGACAAAATTAAAGGCAGTTTGGTCTGTGAAGCAATCTCCATAAATAACTCCTCCACAATTTACCACACAGTGAAAAAAAATATTTGAATCTTTAAATCAAACGTCTTTCTATCTTGGCAAAATGCCATTGGTGTCACAGTGAAATGGTTCCCCATTAAAGAATAAATAATTGCCCACTGTCCAGAGTGGAAGCAGAGAGCCCCAGTGATTGGTTCCATGTTTTATTGATTAGAGTGCTGTGATTAACAGTCCCCGAGGGGGTTCCTGTCTGGACAAAGACAGACATCAGTGAGCAGAATTTTAATGAGGACGTGTGGGGTGGCTCAGCGCTGCGCTGAACTGGAACGGAGATGTCACACTGGCACAGTATAGAGCAGAGCTGCACAGCAGCAGGTGGTTCCACACACGTTCCTGCCAAAACTAGAAGCCTTCCGGTCCTCTTGAGGTTTATTTAGGGAGGGATGGGGGTGCCAGAGCTGCCACTAATGCATTTAACTGTAATTGTTCATGATATACTGTGCCAAATTGCTTAGCCAGTTCCAGAGTCATAAATGCACGGAGAGAAGATCAGACTCAATGCAAACCATTCTGGAAGCATCGATCTGTTGTCTACACACACATGACGGAAAGGGTTACATACACCAAGTCATGTTTTTGTATCCAGAGTATGGACGTTACTGAATTTGAAAAAAATCACTGCAACGCGTGCGGTGTCGCAGTCCGCGCTGTGGCCTCACAGCACCGCTCAGAGCCCCAGTTCCTGTCTGTGCTCCCAGAGACATGCTGGCCACGTTCGCTGGACCATGAGTTGTCCTGGTGAGCTTGTGTGAAAGTGTGTGCGAGCTGTCCAGGGTGTAGTCTCGACTTCCAGGATAGGTTTCAGGTTGCTGTAACCCTTACTTTCTGTTACTTTCTAGTAACAGATGGAAATTCATTATCTTTGAATCCATTTGTTGCCTAATTTGATATTTTATAGTGATATCCAGTTCCCAATTACATCAGAGACCTTGGGTGATTTGATGGGCCTGTAATGTTGCTTTTTTCTTCAAGGTGATTGTAAAGGGATACGTGATATGATCTGACCAAGCGGGACCTCCTTCCAAGTCTGGCAGCCCTTAGGTCTCAGAGACCGGAGACCAGAGTCCCCAGCTGTGATTCTCTCTACTTTTAGAGCAGCTCCTCATTTTTCTTGGGGGGGTCTTTCTTCTTTCGTGCAGACACATCCCGTCAGATTGACTGACCTGAGGAGACCAGGCTGAAAGAGGCTGTGGCTTCAGGCTAAAAACAAAGTGAACTGCCTGTTTCTCCCTGTGGTATCAATTGCATTTACTTTCACCTCCATTTGGCCAGATACAATAACAGTTTCAGCATGGTGGCGTTTCATTCTTTCCATAATTTATCATCGAAGTTGTGAACATGAACTGTGTATGTAAGTCTATCGCATCAGTTCTGAATGTGTTTTTTACTGAACATTTCCTATTACCTACAATTTTCTGCTCGTCATTTTCGCCCAGCATTAATTTGTGTTGATTAAACTGCACAAAAGACTGGAATGAATGGACTTGGATTCTGCTTCATTAAGACAAAATTCTGTGAAATGGCAAATGATCTTGTCTTTTTCCCTTTTTTAAGACCGTACATCTTCTTTGGTCTGAATGAGTACACCTTAAGTTAAGGAAATGTGTTTTCGATATGAATATGCTTCACATTTCATAAACCTGTTGAAAAACTATAAACATTCTTATCATTCTGAATATTCATTTTAATGTTATTCATTTTCCATTATAATTACAATTTATGAATTTAAATGAATTTAAGATGGAAGTCCTGAAGGTTAGATTTGTCATTTTCAGTGTTCTCATTTATTTATTCTTCTGTACTTTGAAGCTGTGAGATATCCACTTGATATTCTGGTTTTGTTTTCGTCTCATATTCTATTTTAATCAGAAGCAATAGTGCCAACATGTTCTTGAACTTTGAACTGTGTGTCCTGGCAAGCAGCAAGTACAGTAAGCCTTTAAGCATGGAGCATAATAATAATGTAGAAGAGCAGCCACAGAGCAGGGTGAGGCTGACAAAAAGGGTGTTATTGCACAGATACCACAGGGCATCTCTGGCAAATGGGTTTGCAGTACCTTCCATAACTAAAGCATTTGACTCATTATTGAACAAGTATGTGTTTCAAAATTTAAAACAATCATGCTTATTACCAATATAGTCTTTGTAGTGCTTAGCACTTGCAAAGAAGCAGGTACAGTATTATTGGTCATCTAGATCACATCTGGTACCTCAAGATCTCGGCACACAGTGGTGGTGGCTCTCGAGTTGTGTTTAGATAACAAGGCAAGCCTGACATGAGATGGACTTTGTGTTCCTGTTCCTGGGTGGTTCTTGAAGGTGGTCAGTCAGTGTTCCTCTTTGATTAATGGAAAGATTTGCCAACAAAGGGGCAGGACAGCAGACTGAACTTAAAAACTAGGGCGCTAGTCTGGTCTTACTGTTTTCCCAGCAGATCTCATGCCTGCTGTTCCTAACACCAGACTTCAGGAACCTGGGAGTTTGCACAATGTACAAATTCAAAGTTTACACTTGCAAAGGGAAGCAGTTTTTTTTTACTTTAACACCTGGCCTCTGTTCTGTGCTTGTTTTTCAGGACCGGGGACAGGGAAGGACATTAACGGGTCGGCTTGCCTCGCCCAGTCCATGTGGCTTCTACTGGCCTCCATTGCCTGCCTTTTCTTCAAGTGTTAATAATACCACAAACCCATCGTACGGAGTTACATTGAGACTGTTTGTATAACAACAACCTGCTGCGATTAAGCGCAATCAACATGAGGAAAAAAAGAATGGTCTATTAAAATAATCCTTTAGTTAAACACAAAAACAAAACGGATGAACAAAGGTTACTTAAGGAACAAACGGCGATGTTCTTGAACTTCAGTTATTGCAGGCTTTTTATTTCCTTCATTTTGCAAAATCTTAGCACCGTGCTTTCCTGATCCTTTCAGTTTTATTTTATTTGACTGGTTTAGATTAAGAAGTAAATTAAAGTAATAAGAAAACATGTTGTCAACTCAGATATGGCAGGGAATTCAAGTCACGTACAGTAGCCATGACTGACAGCTCAAATCATTGTGTTTTTTTAGTTTCAAAGGGGTAGATCGTAGACATTTATTTTTAAACAAGGTGACTGCAGTCGTAAATTCAGTCTCATTCGCCTCCACGCAGTCATTAGGTTTCTTTCCCAGTTTGTAAAGAGCAGTTGAGCATCAAAATGTTGTTAATTTTATGGATATACATTTCTGTGATGATTTTTCTGCCTGTGGACCATATGAGAAAAGATAAAGGCTACTAACTAATGAGAGCAACTGAGAAGTTGAATAAGAAGCAAAATAGCATCTAAACCCGCATACAACATACAGTATTGTACTGGAAAGCATTATAGGACTGAAAGAAAAGAGTGAGGTTTTAAAAGAACAATACTCTGGGCATACATTAGCCTAGTCATATATCCTGATTTAAATAGATGTAAATATTGTTGAATATAGCTCACTGATGGTGCTTGTTAAGTAGTTCCTCACTTCAGAAAGGCCTCATGTTTTAATGCTCTAGAAAGCTGTGGGGCTGCAGCATCTGTACGTGGAGAGTGATTTGTGATGCACAAATAGACTAGCATGGGACAAGCTGAGTGATGTATATCTGAATTGCACATACTATAGCCTATTATTTTATTAACAGTGAGATTCATTCCTGTGAAGAGGGCTTGCAACAATTAACAATCCTGTACAGAATTAATTTGTAAAAAAAAAAGTTTTTATTTGAAAAGCAAACAGGTTGTGACCAGTTTAAGAGCAGCAATCCATGTTAAAACATTGACAAAATTGCAGTTGTCAAATTGCTGTAGATATTAAAGAAAAAGGCTAACAATTCTGTGCATTCTTCTCTGGCAAACTGTATTTAAGCTTCTGAAATTGCCTGCCATATTTGCTGTTGCTCCTTGAAAATGCCTGCTAGTGCGGTGAAATCGTCTTAAAACAGGTTATTTGTAAGAAACCTAAATTGGAATGACGTACTGTAAACCCATAAGATATCAGTGTAACCTACACTGTTCCCCTATTACTCTCTACCTAGGACTTTTTACTTACTGAGAATACTGAAGTTTTAAGGAATGTTTTCCCCGTTTATTCATGTACATATTTGAAAACAATGTCCATATATACAAATGAAAGATTTAATATATGTCCACATTTCTGATTAGGTTAGTACTATGTTGAAGATTAACCTTTAGTGGTCTATGGTAGCATAATTTTGCACCATCTGTTAACAGGTTGTAAGGAATAACATTTAAAAATGGGATTGCTGCAGTTATGTTTTGTGCTTGTCAAAGTTGTACCTTTCAGATTACAAGAAAATCTGATCTGGATTATCTGTTAATCCAATTGAAAGAAATAATACATTATACAGTATATGATGCTGAGAATAGTACCTGGCATAGATACAATACATCACATTAAGTATTAGCATAAGTTTATCAAATGCCAGAATAAACTGTGAATAAAGTTGTTTCAAGTGTACAGCAGAGCCCTATATTGGTTAGGAAAAATCTCTTGTTCTCTAATTTCTGTCAAAAAGCATTATTCTATAGAAGTGTAAAATGTTTATAAAAATAAAGTATCATGAATCTATATTCAAAACAATGCACACATAATCTTTTTCAAACAATGGCAAATACATATTCACACATACATACACTTGCTCAAGAGGTTACTTACACCCATATCATCCCTTGCCTGTAAAGCAAAAAGTCAATCTCTATTTTTCACCGAATTTGCAATTTAAGACATGAAATGCAAATCTTTGCCTTAGACTTTCTTTACTGTCTGGAAGGCCAAATTTGTTTAGCATTTTCTCTGCAAAAATATTAGACTTTTCTCAATTTAAAAAATAAATCCAATCAAAATGAGAGAAAAATGAACGTACTTTTCTCTAAATGTTCTTAAAATGCAAAGAGAGGGGTTCACAAAAAATACAAAACCTCCAGGTTTCAGTCTGAGCCTGGACTTAAAACTATAAAATAATCATTAGAGTGTTGAATGTCATACAGTACCTCTGTTTTACACAATGTTGTCTTTGAAATGGGGATTTGAAAGATAGATCTCAAATCCTGTCATGGTCATCTCCTTTTTTTCCCTATTTTTCATGTTGAACAAAATTTTTGTTGACCTTTTAAAAGTTCTTGGAAGTAAAATACTGTACTTAAGACCCTTTTCATGATTAAAAACAGGACTGTTTACATTCAGTCTGAATTATTTTGATACAGGAGTAAAGAAAATACTGTAGTATTTTTTTCCTTTATGAAGTTAGCTAAAAAGTCTTACAAAGGTACAAATGTTTAGGGCCCTGGAACATGCAAATAAAAAGAAATGCAGATTGTAGATCTCATTTGAAAAGTCCAGCTGTTTTGAAGGTGAAAGTTATTTGTTATTTATCTGCTGTTTTCACAGCATCTGTTTGATTGTTTTGTTTCAGATTCACATGCTTAACAGTACATTTCTCTAGTAGTTACATTACATGATACTGCAGAGGGTGATTGTAGAAAAAAATATATATAACGGATTTTAAGAGATGTTCAAACAAACCCCATCTACTATGTCTGTGTTTTTGTGAGTATTCATGTCTAGTATTGAACTCTCTGTGTTTACATGGAAGACCTCAAATGTTATGAGAGAAGAACATGTATCTGTCTTTTTACATACAGTATATGTACAGTATACAGTACAGTGTATACATGTGGCCTAACAGAACCCATTTCGGGTATGTTCCCTTTTCTTTAGATATTTGGAAATTTTATTGGTACAAATATTATTTTCCCCACTTTATTCTATAAATAATACATATACAAAATAATGTATTGTGATGGTTTACTTAGTGGACAAGCAAATGCAAGCATGCAGTGTATTGCAAATCTTTATTACAGTAATGTAGAATCTTCTGAATCTCTAATTCTCACCCTAAATTCAAGTGTGTTGAAGTGCCATCATTTTTGCTTGGTTGTTACTTGCAGAGAAATATGAAGTATGAATAAAATTATTTTTACTCATTTTCAAAACTGTCTCCACCCTCCCGACATTAGCAAAAAAATAAATCCTTTATTTTCTGCTTTTGGGTCACAAAGTGCACCCTCATTAACGGCAGCGTTTGAGTGATAATTGTATTGTGTGTATCTGTGTAGTAACTATTGCAGTAATTGGAGGTATGCTGCGTGACTGAGTGACCGAAGGTATATTTATATTAGTATCTTGATATACCTGATTACATTTTATTCTGCATTATGAGCCCTCTGTAATGTAGTCTTTTATTCATGTGCTACACTACACTACTACCGTGAAATAGTTTCTATGTAGAAAACATGCAAATAAGCATTGAATTCAAAAATAACTTGGAATTTCAGTCATAAGAACACCCGGTATGTGGTAACGTTACAAAACGAAGAACAAACGTAAAAATAACAGAACTGGTCTGAGATTATTATGGAACCAAATTTGACAGACTAAACATCCAAAAAATAGATGCGTTTAAAACTAATTTAATGCAAAATGTCTGTGGAGGCAGTTTTGAAAAGGACATTTATGTAATTATTTTCAGTGTAATTCTTTCCCTTTTTGGTCTCTGGGTGTGAACTATGGCTCCGAAGTGGAAGAAAAATTATTAGAGGCCATAAAATGTCTTTATTTTGCTTTATTCCTAAAATAGAATTAATTATAACAATATATTATGATATTAATAATATGAATATTATGATCAGTTTGAGTTCTTTTTTGAGTGTAGGATTAAGTCTTATTTTGTCTTTTTTTTTATTTTGGTTGAGCTATGCATAGCATCTGTGATTGGTGTAAAGCTTTTTTGATAATGATAATGGGACATGGTCTCAAAAAACAGCTCTAGGGCCAAGCTGTCAGGATGGCACTCTTCAACGCCCACAGTTTTGGACTTTACTGTTTGGGTATTTTGTTTGCTGCGGCTTTCAAAGATTTCCCCAGAATGTTAAATTCACATTTCAGCTTTGCATAGACCTGTAGCTAATAAATTCACGTTCTTTCTCCTGAAATATCGCAGTCATCACAGAAATATTGGCAAAATAGATTTGTGAACTGCAGTTTGACATTGCACATATTTCAGTAATTTATTTGGACAGAGTGTTTAGCTTCAAAGAATGATGAGTGTTACTCTTATACTTTGCATGACCAGCATTGACAAATAATATCATCAGCAGACATTCAGTTTTTCTCTTCTGCTAATTTATCGCTAAGCTAAGGATTACATACAGTAGCCAGTTTTAATTTTTTTCTCTTTTTGAACTTAACTCTTATAAATTTATTAAGATTGTAACCTAATAACTGAATAAATGAAACATGATTCTTTCTCTTGTAAATGTAGATTGTTTGGTATAAAACTTGATATCTTCGAAAAACAAGCTTTGAGAACCACCTGAATCATGTTTGGTTTTATAATCGATTTTATTGTAATGGGCTTAATCCTCATCAGTATAAAGGTTTGGCTCCTACCAAAAGAATAGTTTTTGAAACAGGTAGTCAGCGGTACAACATCGAGTCTCTACTGCTACTGTAACATAGCGCTGTTTTTTGTGTACCCTGACTGTGTCCCAGCATCCTTTGCACAGTTTCTGTGAGATTTTCTGTGTGATGAAGAATTTATTCTGTAGAAATAATTGTGTATAGCAGGATGGATAGCTGACTTATAAAATGTTGATATCTGGAGCATGCTTTGACCAATCAAGAAAAAAATATGCAGCTGTTAATAAATAAAAAGGGGTACTTTCAGTAAGGCTGACAGGAACTAGTGTTGATTCAAACTTTCTCATTTCATTATTCCTTTATATGTTATTCTTTGTACTAACAAAACAGTTTAATCCTGAATAGTCAGGAATTTCTTAACAAGCCTATTATGCACAGTCACATGTTGTATAATAGTAAAGATGTGTCTTTTTTATTCAGTTATTTAAAAAGAAGGTTATAATCAATAAAAGACAAAGAATGGGTAAATGCCATGAACATCTACATATACTGTTAAATAACATAAACCTTGCATATTGGCCATTCGAATCTGAACAATGTGAAAAACTGATCATGTGAAAATACAACATATGAAAAGCCATGTGAAAAGTTGAGAAGATGGGTTTTTTTCTTGGAATCTGTGAATGAAGGACTGTAAATGACTGACATGCTGATATTGAATAACCTGGGGACCCAAGTAGCCAAGATTTGTGGCCAGCCAGCTCGGGCAGGAGCATTGCTCCACACTAGCTCCAAGATGGACATCCCCAATGGCAACATTGTTACAAGCAGACGAAAGCTATTGCCAGAGGTTTACTCCTTCTTCTCTGTTTCCACAGTGAGTTTCTACCAGGCCTAGTTCACCCACATCCTTCCAGATTTACCCCTAGCGCAGAAGTATATTACACTCTCTGTACAGCTGCCAATAAAACATCCACTTCGTACAAGTGTGTTGCCGATTCCTATGTATATTGTGTGTGTGTGACTCTAAACTTTACTCCAGTGGGTGGATTTTTTTCTACTCTCACTGCTTTCCACGGGCTTGTGTTGCTTTGGGTTTGCTAACATAAATAAATTTTAAAAATGTTTTAAAGTGACTTACGTGATTTTTCTTCTGGATGGATTAGGACTGTGTCACATGATCCCTGTTAGAGTACAGCAGATGTGGCCACCCCTGTTCTGAGTCTGGTAAATACCTGAAGCATGTGGGAGTTCTCGTCAATTTAATCAACCATTACAAGTTTTTGTGTTCTTGATATACTGTATTCATTTTCAGTCCAGTATTTTCATTTTCATCAAAGTAGTACAAACTGCACTTTTTTCTTGCCCTTGATAAGTTTGCCCCATTGTGTCCCAGTTTTCTGTGCTAGGAGCCAAGGGAGTTCTCTTCTCCAGCTTTGTTCTGAAATTAACTGACTGAATAGCTGTCAAGCTTTTACAGTGCCTTTTGACCCCAGCTTCCCAGAACCTGCTTTTTGTCCTTCCTGCGCCTCTCTTGTCATGACACATTCACATGTTTCTGGCATAACCTTGGAGCAAGATGCTACAGCAGATAGAACAGGTTTCAATGCATATATTTATAACTTCTTAAAGCCTCATCTCTGTGAACTTGGGTGAACTTGCATCTCTCATTACATTCAGGAAAAAGTGAACAAAGAAGAGTTTTTAAAACAAGGAAACAAAAGGTTAACTGACATTTTATGTTACCAAGTCAGTATGTCTGGTTTCACAGGTAAAATATTATTCATTTGTTTTTTTGATTACATGGCTTGACCCTAGTGTGTTTCAATGCGGCAAAATTAAAATAAATCCCACTGCCTTTTCATTTCAGTGGCACGTGGCGTTTAACATATATGGCAAGAATTGCATATTTGAATGTTTTATGTTGAATTACAGGATTTTAAGCTGTTTGAAGCCGAAATTTGAAGACCTCAGTAGACGTCAATTAGCAGCTGTGAAAGACAGGAACATGCTTGAAAGAAAACCTTGCTCGGAAACATGAACGTAATAAGGCATAAAGCAATGAGGAGCTGTCAGGCTGGGAATGACGCTTTCTCTGAATGATTTTGAGGATGAAGCATTGTGAGGAAATGAAAAAAGTTAACTCCCAAATACACGGCATGCTTATCTTTTCATACGATAAGCTTTGACTTGGCAATGATATATTGTCCTTAGCTAAATAAAAAAACCTTAAATAAGAACTCTAGGTATACAAGTAATAATTTTTTTCTTATCAGATTTCCTCAGTGTTCTTGCTTTGATGTACAGTACTTCACGAATACATGCCGGTACTTCAGATAGAACAAATTCGTTCTCACTTTCCCGCTCTTCGGCACAGCCAGTAACAGGTGACTTGTTGGACTGTTTGAGAGATTTTCATTTCAGGCTGCTTATTTTAGTTTTTTTTCAAGCAATGCCATTTGTATGAAAGTGATAGCCCCCCAAAAAGCACACTTGTATCATCATTTTAGGCTCATGCAAAAGGGGAATTTCTTTATTTCTATTTACTCTATAAAATCAAGTTGTTAACTATAATACAGTTGATAAAAACGAACATAAAAGGTGTTCAGGGATTTGGGGTGATCAGACAATCGGCAATCAGAGCAGTTTGTTCGAGGGAAACACTGCGTATTCCTTATTTGAGTAACTCCGAGGAGGAATAACTTTATCAGACTAGCCTTGTCTGTTTATAGAAGGAAGTGGAGGTGGTATTTCCACCTCCCTGGAGGCCCTATAAGGACGATGCAGGTACAGGATGAAGAAGGAGGCTGAGCTTCCCTCCCAGCGGCAGTATTCCTGCTGTCCCAGCAGCCAACAAAGCGCCGGCCCCGCATGTTCCCTCGCAGAGCACTTTGTGCCAGCAGGTCCGTCATTAACAGCACAACCACATGCTGCAGCAGACAGCTCCTTCCTCACTCGCCTACGCAGGGGGTAAGAGCAAGGGGTTTGGTTTTTTCATTAGGAGACAGGCGGCGCATATACATCTCTTGCAGAGATATACAGGACATCATCACAATAGGGTTTGTAAAAACAGTGAATAGGAGTAGCTCCTAAACTAATAATTAGAATAAAAGAATAAGAGTACGTTTTAAGTACTAATGATTATTTCAGTAATAATTAATTGAAATTGATCCGCTGCAGGGACAAACTCCTATGATAGGTTTCATTATACTACAGGAATGTTATTTTAAAAGTAATACAATTAAATCACCATTTCTGCTTCGTGCTTGTCGCTTGCAGGGATAGGCTCCGGCTCCCCCACAAATCGGAACTGGTTAAAGCAGATGGAAAATGGATGGATGGATGTTTTGGCATCTTGGCCTTCATCAGTCGCACCAACTGTTTAAATAAATTAATCTGAGCGTGATAGTTTAGGTTAGTTTACAGTGGGGAAAAAAAGCAAGAGAGCTGAAAGAATACATCTAATTCTGCAGTTAAGTTGCCAAACACAGAAAAGAAAAAAAAAATGAAGAATGAAAAAAAATGAAGAATAAACTGAGCAGGTTCTTATGGAAATCAAAGCTGTAATTTAAGGAAGCTTATAAGAAAACAGTTCACTTTTTATTATCTTTTTCCTAAATGAATATGAAATGATTGTCTAGAGAAATCAAGCACTACAGTATGTCTGCCCGAAAGGTCTTAATACAGTACGTGCTTCGTGAAACATTACACTCATTTCATTTAGAAGCATTTTAAAAATAATCTGTGCAATAAATGCACTTTACACATTGCTGTAAACAGTTGCAAAACCTCCAGACCATGGATGGAAACAGATGCAAAGCCATTACAGGTGCCTGAAGAGGAGATAGATAGTTCACTTCTTTAATTGCTTTGCTTTCAGTCAACATGGTGCAGACGTGTGATGAAGCCAAACACAGAAGACAGACAAATGCTGACCACTCAATGGCTCCTGGCTTTGTAGGGTTTTTTTCCTGCTATAAATCTTTCCTTGAACATTATTGAAATGCATTTTTTCTCAAAGATGAAAGTAAAGAGCAATCCTTGGCACAAGACTTGAAAACTTGGCATACATCACTGTAAACGAGAGACGAGAAAAAAAAAGGAGAAAAAAAGGAGTTGGAAATGATCAAGGGAATATCAAAATACCGCAGCATTTGATCAAAGCATGGGTGAGCAAAAGGCTCACAGTTTATCTACTTCAGAATGTTTTCTTTGTACAGTTCTAGTTTTTAGGCTGCAAATGACTTATCAACCAACAAACTGAGGATTCGAAATAACTATTACAAGTACCACTGAAAAAGATATAGGTTTAGGCCTTAATAATATTGTATACAGTAAAATTCCAGTTAGGTTTAAAATGAATTGTTTAGATTAATCTACTTTAAAGAAAGATTTCTTGCACTGCTTGTCCACGCTGTTTTTTCTATGCATTAGAAAGAGGGGATGTAACGGCCACCAACCTTAACATTATTTCTAGTATCCATTATTCTGTATTGATTCTGATTTCACATTATGATTAAAATGAAGAAAAAAAAAGATCAATTGGGAAAGCTTAAAGTACAATGAGGTTAAAACATTTGCCTTAGGTTAAAAAAGCACATGTCCGCACAATGATTTTCTCATATTTTCATGCAGTGAGTTTAAGATGTGTATAAGCATTTTTTTTTTAAAAAGTACCATGGCCAGAGTATACTTAGTGCAAACACATAGAATACATATGTGTATTTATTCTGTATACATGCATTTTCTTATTCCAAGCCAAACAGAACATTAAACAAGTTGCACTACCCATGGTCAGTTCAAATGTGTTCTTTGTGACCACAAAAGAAATAAGATCTCTCCCCTGACAGATTAGATGGTCATTCATACATCTGAGATTGACATGGCACAAGATGTTTAGGCCTCAGAAGAACATAAGCTGTAATGCTACTGAACAATTAGTCTGAAGTCAGATCATTCAGAAAGCTGAGGCAACACTTTCTTTGTGTTGATTGATGCTGATGTGACCAAATTACCAGTAGAAAACATTTGTCAGTCTCTAGTCAATACAGAAACATGTGAACGAATCAGCCTGATGTTATTGATTGTGTTACAAAGGTCAGTGTTTCTATTACTCATTGATACATTCGGTCTTTCACCTCATAAGGTATATTTTTACACCGTGTTTCCGGGTCTTTCTGCTTCACATGTGGTGAAGGAGACCAGCTCCTACCATAACGCCAGACCTTTCAGATTCCAGGACCTTCATGGAACATAGGGTGCGGTTGTTGATGTTTCCTTGGGAGTAGTAGGTGCCTCTTTTTATTTAATGAGCAATATTTTGTTTTCTTTCTTACATTCACTGGTATCCAATGAAGAGGTTACACAGAAACCATTTGGTTTTATTTCAGTGTAAGGCCATGTTTACTAATTTGGTGAAAACTGCTACTATATTGTTACTATATAACCTGTGATATACAGCTCATAACCCCCCACCCCAAAAAGTCCATGTACTGTAATAAAGTGCTTATAGATTGAGAAGAACAAAACGCAACAGGCAGAAGCTGCTGCATTAGCTTGAGATTGCGATATTGATTCATCACCAGTGTGATGGTGAAGAATACAATATTAGGGGAAACGCAGAATTTCGGAGAGGCAGGACGGATGAAAGAGGTGAAACAATATGACTCAAAAAAGCATTCAGGCACAGCAACCTAACCCAGATGAAAAAGTGTCTCAAACTTAGAATAAATATTCATACATCAGGCTATTAGGTGTCCGCTACAGTACAGACCACCAAATTCAGATATCAAATTTAACGCAAAAGTATGAAATCAGGAAAATCTATTTGCATAAAGAAACAGTTATCATCATGGGAGATTATGAATTTCCCCTCCATGATTTGGGAAAAGTCTACTGGGACATCAGCAGGTGAACCTGAAATGACTAATTAAGGCTTTTTTTTTACCGAGATTGTCAGAACACTTACTAGAGTTCTTCTGCAGGGTTGTCCACATGGATTTAGAAAAGGTAGATCTCACTTTAATTAACTTATGCTGGGTACAAGCAGCACATATGATGTGATACTGAGATTTTCACAAGGCATAATCCTCATCTGTTAGTGCTCAGATTGCATTCACATGGAATGGTTAAAGGATAAAAAAAACAAGGAGCTCAGATAAGAGGTGAATGCTCAGATTGGGATGATGTAATCAGTGGAGTATATATAATTCATAGTCTAGTGAAGAAGTTACAGTACGTTTGCAGATTATATCAAAATAGGAGAATAATCAAGTATTCTAAAATATACTGTACAAACGAAATTCCATCCATCCATTCACTAAACATCATCCAGTACAGGGTTGCGGAGGAGTCGGATGCTAACTCAGCAAGCAATGGGCACAAGGTGGGATAAACTCTGGATGAGCCTCCAGTCCATCCAGGAGAACAAACAACATTCAAGAGTAAAACTGTAAAACCGTGAATCCAGGAAACCTACAGGTATATTGAAAATAGTCAACTAGTAGTTTAGAATGTGTGCAATTGCGTTTACTGTGTTGTAAAAACTCAACAAGAAAGGATATTGGTGCTCTGTAATACATTCAGAAAAGAGCAGCCCACTGCCTGCAAAGTCTAGGCTGCCTCTCTAACTCTAATGAACTGAAAGAATGTCTTGAACACAGAACCTTATGTGAGACCCTGATTCAAGTATTTAAAATCCTCACAAACCCTCCTACAGACCAAGCAGTAAAGGACACAGGTGGAAGTCAGATTGTGGGAGCTATACTGTCAAAACTATCCCTTCTTTCAGGATAAGGCTTGATGAGAACCTTGGATCAAAGTACTACTGACAACCAAATGATGGGCCAAAGCCCTTCTTTACTTTCTAACCTTTCTCATGTTCCTGGGGTCTTGACCTTACAAAATTAGATTGATCACGGACCTGTAAATGCTTGTGAACGTGAAGGAATCTGTTTGACATTATGTTATCACATGTATGTTTCAAAGGTCAATTATTTCTGTTGTCTTGTGGCCATGTTTTTCCTATAATACTTACAGAATTCCCACAAACTTCACATTTGTTCAAAGAATGAACAATCATCATCATCATCAGGGTTTGAGTTTGCCCACTTATCAAGTGGGCACACTTGTATTGTATTGATCTGTGCCTTTTCATGTTTCCCGCTGGCTTTTAGCATTCTTTTTCTGGTAGTGTATTTTCAGAGATTCCCTTCTGAGGCAATCCAAAGAGTTTTCCTGTTTCACAATTATTTTGCTACTGCCTTGGCCTTGCAGTTTCCTCTGTTGCAACCACAGTACTCCAGGAGGCCCTTTCAGTTGGTCCCCAGTAGGTTTCTTGCTGCCAGGAAACATCAACCCATTACCTAAAAGTCATGAGACATCCTCATCAGGAAGTGTTCCTGGTTCTTTTAGAATTGTTTAGCCCACAAGATCATTCTCCCAGCAGGGCTGGGCTCCCAGCAGTATATCACATGGATGAAGCTAAGACTAATGCACTAAGGGTGTCTTTTAAGCCCTAGGTACACCCATAAGGGTTTCACTGTACAGCCATTTCTTTTTTTATAACGCCATAGTTGTGGTCCTTGTGTGAAAACTCTAACGGGGCGCGTCCTGTAGGATCAATAAAAAAAACAAACGAAGCTTTTTCCCCCTACCCAAGATGGTGGCGCGCAGATCCCGGCGAGTCGATGGGCCCAACGATCACTGGAGCAGGATCAGCTATACATCCTGCTCCAGACAGAACAAATCGAGCGCCGTGTGGAAGACGCTGTTGGCGACGAGTTGATTCACAGACGCGATGCTGCCCGGATTTCTCTTATCTGGGGGTTTGCAGAGAGGCGTTACCTGCCCGAATTCGGGTGAGGAGTGCGGCAACCTTGCTGCCGAGTAACTTCCCCATCACTGACGAGAAGAGTTGCTCTTCTACCCCGTGTTGTTTCCCCAATTGATAAAAAAAGCAGTGCTGCTACTGAAGTTTATTTCCCCCAGCGCTGCCGCAGCGTTTTTTCTCCGGCACTGACAAGAAGAGCTGCTGCTACTCAATATGGCTTTCCCCAGCACTGCGGAGAGAGCGGTGTTGCTGGTGAGAGATTTTTTTCCCAGTCTAGGCAAGAAGAGCGACACTCCAGCTGGGCGTTGTATTTATTCCCCCCCTGGTGTGGACTTTTTTTTTATTTTCCACAGGACCAGGCTTATTTTTTTTTATAAAAACTTGTTCCTTTCCCTTTCAATTTTGTGTTTGCGGTGTGTGCGCGCTCAGGGCACGCCTAGAATCTGTACCCCTGTGCGTGCGGCCCCATTTTTGGTTTCAGAAATTAGAGTTCGGCATTTTCTTTCACAGGCAGAATTCCTATCGAGAATCAGGAATTATACATGTATGCATGAAGGAGGGTTATTTTTGTATATGGATTGTCATCCTTAGAGATGTTACTAACTGATGAATACCCATAATTCTGGTAATCTGGTCTGGTCTAATAATGATGAAAGAAGCCAGTGATAAAGGGATAATGTCTTTAGTACTTAACTCTCCTGGCTGAGCAAATGACAATCCAGTGAGTCACAACCCTCTTTCAAGGAATGAATTAGGGAGCTCCTGCCATATTGAAGTTTGGATGGAGGGAGGAGGGTTCTGAGTAGCCATTGAGTGTTTATATCGAGGAGAGAGCAAGTGTGAGGTTAGAATTGGACTTTCCCTCAAATGTCTATAATTGATGTTAAATAACACTAAAGTAAAACTATAATGTTACTTCAAGCGTCACTGCCATTATTTGCAGAAAAATCCAAAACGCTTTAGATGTCAATGAAACGATACCATATAAATGGTATCACTTTTGTCTCCTGATGCTGGTTTAAAATTGTCATGATCTTAATTACAACATAAGAAGTACAAATCTTTTTTTTGTCCAAAAATAAATGTTTGAAAAACAAAATGCTGCAATGAAATCATGAAAGTTTGCTATCACAAAAATGGAATGACCATAACGGTGTCTTAATGTTACCATTGAAAAGCAATATTAATTTAGTGTGCCCTCACACTTTCATTTGGTTTCTTTCAGTGTGTAGACTTCCTGGGTATTTATGAAATCTCTTTTACTTTTTATGAAAAGTTTTCTTTGATCTAGAGAGTTCAAAAGAATAGCAGAACAATGGAAAAGAGTATCACAAGAGTTATTAATGATAATGATGAGCAGTAAAAACAGCTATATTTCAGACAGAAAAACGAAACTCACTCTGAATAATTGGCACATTGCTTTATTTTGAAAACAAACAAAAAGTTGTTCATTCCCATCACATTGAAATGAAACCATTTGTTCACTAACAGTTTGAACTCCTTATATTTAAACTGAACATTGCACGCACTGGAACATAGAAAATAGCCAGGATAATTTTGTTTCTTTGTTTTTTTTACAGTGCAAGAATAATTCCAAATGATTGGTCATATCAAACTGTCATAACAACACCAAGAACACCTAAATGAAGCCACACGTTTTTTTTTTGACTGCAAAATTTTCCCGCCAATTCTTAAAAAATCTTTGCCACACAGAAAAAAAAAATACGAACGTCCTCACAATCAGAAGGCTAAGAGTGGCCTACTCTTTTACTTATTTTTGTTATTAGTAGTAGCATTATTTCAGACATTCTCTTGGTCAGCCTTGATGTCTTCCACCTTGGTTTCCTCTGTATGGTCACTTTCAGCTGGTTTGGATTCTTCTACAGCATCTGAAACAGGAGAAGAACAAAAATACTTTCTGTTTAACCCAAGGAGCTGAAATTCCCAGTTATACCCATAAACGACCTGTAAAAAAAGCTTCTTAATCTGCAGATTCCTTACATTGGAGAAAATCCCTAACAGGGACTAATGTTTTCACTGGGGCTCAATGTTTTTTCTTGTATTTCTGTGCTGTTGGTTTTCAGCTTTTGAACTACAGTATAATTGCACAGTGGCTTACTTAATTTTAACAAAAAAAAATGCATTACATTTTTAAAGTAATTATATATGCATGATAAGAAGAATCATTACAGCAACTACCGTCCAAAAACATAATTAATGCAGACTTCTAATGTACTCAAGTACTATACATTTATGACCCAATAATCCATTATTTTAGCACATTAATCATTAAAGACATTTAAGCCTCAAGGAATCACAAAGGGGTAAGAAGGCAGTTTTGGTTTCCAACCTTTTTTTTAATGAGAAATTATTGTACTTCTGGTGGAAAAATGCATATTTTTTTCTCAGTACTTAAGCATTATTTTCTTAGTCTTCTTTGCTGGGGAAAAAAGGCTTATCAGTTCATTCTAAAACTACCAGACATGGCTCCAATGGGCTTTGTTCCCAGGGCTTGAGAATTCTCTAACGAATTAATGAATAATGATGAAATTGGGCCTCACTCAATGCCAGAGTCCTGGCAAAAATGCCCTCTTGCGAGAATCTCTCTGATCACCGTGGGGCCAATTAAAGGGAGGATGGAGCCATGTGCTGACCTCTCCTCTTTAAAACAGTACAGCTGTAAAATACACTTGAGATTAAATTCCTTTTTGACACAAAATACTAAATCTACAACAGGAAAGTAGGGGTGGCAGTGCTACATTTTTCTTTTTTTTTGTAGTTGTTTTAAATCCCTTGAAATAAGGCTGCAATCCTTCTCCCTCCACTTTCTTCAGTTGCCTCTGTTGCCTGTATGTGCGTGCCTGCCACAGGGTGACACTATCTCTCTGCTTGTGTTCTCCAGTCAAGCTCCTCAACTGATTCTCCCTGTTCTGAAGTTCTCAATATGCCTTTCTTAGAGTGGTATTGGTGCAAATCACTGCACACATTCTCCTGTTTGGAGAGAACCAAGTGCATAATGAAATACAAACAAGGTCGCAATGATGTGCAATGCTTATTATTCAACAACATGCACCCAAAGCCCTCTTCACCAAGAGCAACAACAAACAGGTTCTAAATATTTTCTGTTCTCAATTTACTTTCATCATGTATAAAAGTTCATCTGTGTCTCAAGAGGATTCAATTTTTTATTATTTTAGACATTCTTGCCTTTAAATGAGTTTAATTAAAGAAGTTTAACATCTCTCATCACAATATGTCTTAATGGGATATGCTGTATATAAGATATTTGATATGTCACACCAAGATACTAGTTCAGGTGTAGCAGGTGTAGCCTAAAATGTAATGTGGTTTTTATTAAGGACAGTACCAGACTGGAGATCATGAGTCTATGTGGCCACTAGGGGGTAAGTCCCACACAGTGCACTGGCTGTTCTGCCTATTCCTTTTCCAAAGGGCCACTCCTATGCTAGATACTTCTCAGAGACATTACAACACCAACAATGAAGGACTTGGAAAGAGCTTTCAAAGCTGTGGGAATTGAGGGAGTTTTCAGATATTGCCAGCTTTATAAATAATGTAATGATGGTGTCTGTTGCCGGAAATGGGAAGCACCCCCGACATCCATTTAAAGATAACAGAGGCCTTTCTAAGTTAATGACGAGTGGGTTTTCAAGCCTGGGAAACACATTGGAGAATCTGCCAACTGACTAACAGGCTTTTTAATTTTTAATTCTTTTCCACAAGCTATCAGCCAGCTCAGACTTCTTCTGCCTACAAGCCTTTTGGAGTAGCTGTCAGCTACACATGATGAAACTAGTGCAGGTATTTGATGTACAGCCTGAAAACGTATGGTTTTCAGGTAGAGATGTTTGTCTGAAATGCAGTGGTGAATCAAAAAATATTTATCTGTCAGTTTATATACTGTGTGCGTGGAAGAAACAAGAGCAGATCAATTTCTATACCTTACAATAAAATTTAGCTGTTCAGTATTTCTCTGTTGGAAATCATAAAGGTTTACAATTTAATAAAAGCTTCAATAATTTTACATTTTTTGGTCTGTAAAGATTTACGCAATGAAAAAAGACAAATTATCACCATCATACAGAGAGTTTGTGCAGCTACTGTATGTTGTTTAATTAAAGCAGTGCTTGTAGATCTTAATATATGTTAAGGAACAAGTAAATGTTTGTTCCATCCTGAAAACAGAAGAAAAGAAACACAATGATTCAGCTGTGGAGCCTTCTTTGGGTGTGAAGGAATGTTGTATTTCTTTTCTTCTCTTCTTATCATGAAATAAACCTTAACTTGTTCCTGTGCAGCCTACGCATGCTGACGCAGCTCCCTACTTGAAAAACTTAATACGTTTTATATCCTTTGACGTCTTTGGGTTTTTAATCAGAATAAATTGTACTTCCACAGATTGTGATTCAACAGTACTTGTGCAGTACCATACAGTACTGTATGTGTCTGTTATGTGGCTGGATCGTCTCTGCTTTTTGTATGAGTTCTTTAAAACGGATATGAAAAGGTATCACTCTGCAATATACAGTACAGAGAATTTGTTTCTTAAGGATTTCCTTATGGTAATGGACATTTTCTTAAACCTTCTTGAGAAGATTGTGCACATACAATATTTCACCTCCTCTCATATTGCTTTAATTTCAGTTTCACTCTGAGGAGCACTGTATATTCATGTTTCATTAAGTTTCAGGTCCTTTTTCCAGTGTATAACAAGATAACAGTTGAAAGGAGACTTATTGCACAAATGCAAATCAATACCATATGATCCTTTGAAACACATGTAGCCAATTGCATATTTAAGAGTAAAAATGATGGATTCTTCATAACAAATCAACATCTGCCCACAATATAACTGTGTGTAAGAAAAATATAAAGTAGAAAGGTGCAATGGCAGAATAATGTTTGTCTGTCTGTGGTAGGGACACACTTCTAAGAAACTGCTGAAAACTCTGGGGTTTCACTGTTTCAACTACCAGAACATTTGTTTTGTACATATCAATGTGTTATTAAAAACAATAGTTTAATTTTTACTTATAATTGTGTTTCATTGATCTTGAGTATTTGGAAGTGCTATTAATATATTATACCATAGTAAGAACATGTTAATAACATAGCAATAATACATTGATCAATTGTCATTTGAAACCAATAATACAAAGTACATCCCAAAGTGGCTGAATGCACTTGAAGAAGCTGGTGACTCAGCTGGAACTACATTTATTACATTCAGCAGAGCAAGAACCGATTGAGAAATGGTCATGCATGTTCTTAATCGGCAACCAGCCTTCTTGGTCTGGCCTTAGGGTTTTGTAAGCATTGCAATTGCTTGCTTTTAACTTGAGTCACAGGCTAACAGAGGCAGCCGTGGAACAGTGGTTAGAGCACTGACCTCCAGATTGTCATATCCTTGAGGCAGGTACTTCACTCAAATCTCTCAGTGAAAACTCTCCTCTAAAAATTGTAAGTGAGAATTTGCTCTCAATTGACTTATCTAGCTTAACAAAAGATTACATTGAAAAATAAAATAAAGTAAAGAGCATGTACAGTATTTGCACATCCCAGTTTTGCTGGCCTATTTCTCTTAGCATGGGCTGGGGAATTTAATAGCGAGTAATAAACTTCATAACTGTAACATGTTGCATTCTTTTGTTTTATGCATTGTATATTTTTGCATGTTTTTTTTAATAATAATTATTATAATAACAATAAAACAAATGGTTGCATTGTTTTCCTCAGTGTATAGCTGTGCGAAACCCATTGCTGTGTATAACAGTACAGTAAATTAGCGTCTTGGAAGCAGGGAAGCCAGACTTTGGAGGCTTAATTGCGAGGCGCATCTTGCCTCGTCTAGACACCGACAGCACTGTTACCACGGCAACAGGGCACCTCTGGCTGGTGCGCTGAGGTGTCTCCTGGGAGCTGGAGGAGATTCATTAGGTCGTCAATTCAATTTCCACTCTTGTTGCTTCCACTAC